AGGCAATTCACTCACCTCAGCCTCTCAAAGTGCTGGGATTACAGGCTGAGCCACCGAGCCTGGCCAATTTTTCTTGATTTATTGTAGAGATGAGGTCTTGCCAAATTGCCCAGGCTGGTCTCAAACGTACGAACTCAGGCAATCCACTCACCTCAGCCTCCCAAAATGCTGGGATTGCAGGCTGAGCCACCATGCCTGGCCTACAATGTGCTTTCTAAGGAAGGTATTCGTTTTTATGCAAAATCAAACACCAGATTTCTTTGGTCTCTTCCATAGGACTGATTTTCGGAGCACAGAAAAGGAGATTTGATTGTTTAATCAGCACATGATAAAGTTGTCAGCTTTGTGAAGTTTTTAAGAGTGGAGTTTGAACACATTTCTGTGTCATCAAAGGTAGGGACTTTTTTTTTAATTACTCAATAAATTGAAATTTGTTCTTTTAACCAGGACTTCTTTAGAATGACAGCTTTAGTTTTTTTCAGTTGCTTCTTTGTATGACCTGAAGAAACCATATAGTTTGATATTCAGTATGAGTTCTGAATCTAGGATAGGGATTGGCAAATTGTTTCTGCAAAAGGTTAGGTAGGGAATACGAGGAGGACCCAAAAAAAACCCAGAATTATCTTTTTTTTTTTTTTTTTTTTTTTGCGAGTGAGCCCCTTGTAGTATAGGCTCCCCCCGCTTGGTAAGCATTTTAGGAACCCATCAGCATCAATGTACCAGCTAGCATAGTTATAAAAGCCTGTGTTCAACTTCAGAGATTTTTTTTTTTTTTTTTTTTGATGATTCTTTCAACACGTTTGCTCATTTCAGGATGGGTGATTTATGAACACACCTGCCTACACCGCACTGGGTGTTCAGCAATTTTTGGCCAAAACTGGCATGACCTTCATGCCCAACCTCCTTATTTACCCATTCTCACCCCAAGCAACTTTTTTTTTGTTTCGCCGGATGAAAAAGATCCTCAAAGGGAAACTTTTTCCTGATGTGGAAGAGGTGAAACAAAAAACAGCAGAAGCACCAAAAGGCATCAGAATTGATGAGTTCAAAAACTGTTCTGAGCAGTGGAAAATGTCTTGATAGGTGTATTGCATCAAACAGAGAGGACCTGAAGGTGACTAAAGTTCAAACATGTAAGAATAAATACACAATTTTTATAAATAAATTCTGGGTTTTTGGGGTCCATCCCTCATATTCTTTATCGATTCTTCACTGATGGATATGTAGGTTGATTCCTTTCCTTGGCTAGTGTGACTAATGCTACAATGAACATGGGAGTGCAGGCATCTCTATGAGATACTGATTTCATTTCCTTTGGATATATACCAGAGTGGGATTGCTGGGTCATATCCTAAAACTTTTTAGTTTTGATGTAGCCTTTTTGTGTGTGTGTGTGCTTTTGTAGAATGAGATTTTGGTATGATATCCTAAAACTTGTGCCAAGGCCAATATGAAAGATATTTTCCCCTATGTATTGTTCTAGGAGTTTTATACTTCTGGTCTTATGTTTATATCTTTAATCCATTTTTAGTTTATTTTTCTTTAAAATGTGAAATAAGGGTCGAGTTGCATTCTTCAGCATGTAGCTGGCCAGTTTTCCCACTATTTAAGAGACTATCCTTTTCCCATTGCATGATCTTGGCACCTTTGTTCAAAGATGAGTTGACCATGAATTTAGATTTAGTGAATTTAGATCTATTTCTAAGCTCTTTGTTCTTCTATTTGTCTGTGTTTTTAAACCAATACCATGTTGTTTTCATTACTTACAGCTTTGTAGTAAAATTTGAGATCAGGTAGTATAATGCCTCCAGGTTCAGTATTTGCTTAAGATTGCTTTGGGGTATTTGGGGTCTCTTCGGTTCCATACAATTTTTTTTTTTTTAAGAGATGGAGTTTTGCTGTGTTGCCCATGCTGGAGTACAGTTGCTATTCTCAGGTATGAGCGTAACACACTGCAACCTCAAACTTCTTGCCTCAAGCGGTCCTCCCATCTCAACCTCCTAAGTAACTGGGACGATAGGTGCATGCCACAACTTCTGGCTTCATGCACATTTTAGGCCTGCTTTTTTTTTTTTAATTTCTGTAAAAATTTCACTGACAGTTTGATAAGGATTCATAGAATCTGTTGATTGTTTTAGGTATAATGATTACTAACAATTTTAACAGTATCAATTGTACTCTTCATCTTTAATTGTACTAAAATTAAAATTTGAAATTTTTTTTTTTTTTTTGAGTTGAAGTCTCACTCTGTCGCCCAGACTGGAGTGCAGTGGCCGCTCCCGGCCACCACAGCCTCGACCTGCTGGGCTCCGCGATCCTTCCGCCTCAGTCTTCCGAGTAGCCGGAATTACAGGCACACGCTACCAGGCCCAGCTAATTTTTTGATTTATTGTAGAGATGAGGTCTCGCCTGCCCAGGCTGGTCTCGAACCTGCAATTTGAAATTTTTTAAAAAACAAAGCTGGGCTCAGTGTGGCTCAGCCTGTAATCCCACGCCTTGGGAGGCTGAGGTGAGTGGATTGCCGGAGCCCACGGGTTCGAGACCCGCCTGGGCAACTTGGTGAGACCTCATCTCTACAATAAATAAAAAAAAATTAGCCAATGTGGTAGCACGCACCTGTAGTTCCAGCTACTTGGAAGGCTGAGGCAGAAGGATCGTCAGAGCCCCAGCAAGTCGAGGCTGTCGTGGCCGGGAGCAGCCACTGCACTCCAGTCTGGGTGACAGAGTGAGACTCCAACTCAAAAAACAAAAACAAAAAACAATTTTAACAAATTCACAAACATAGGTTATCTTCCCATTTATTTGCATCTTTAATTTCTTTCATCAATGTTTGTAATTTTCAGTGTAAATCTTTTACATCCTTGCTTAAATTTCTCTAAGTTTTTTTTTTATTTTCTTGTAAATAAGGTTGTTTTCTTGATTTCTTTTTCATATAGTTCATTGTTAATGTATACAGTTACTACTAATTTTTGAATTTTGATTTTATATAATTACTTAATTTGTTTATTATTTCTAACAGTTTTTTACTAGAGTCTTTAGGATTTTCTGTATAAAAGATCTTATCATCTACAAACAGACAGTTTCACTTATCCCTTTCCTATTTGGATCCCTTTTATTTCTTTTTCTTGCCTAATTGCTCTGACTAGGACTTCCAGTGCTATATTGAATAAAATTGGTGTGAGTTAGCATTCTTGTCTTGTTTCTAATCTTGAAGGGAAAACTTCCATTTTTTTCAACATTGAGTATGATGTTATCTGTGTGCTTGTGATATATGACTTTTATTGTGCTGACGTATATTCCTTCTGTACCTAATTTTTTAAAAAGTTTTTACCAGCCAGGTGCGGTGGCTCAAGCCTATAATCCCAGCACTTTGGGAGGCCAAGGCGAGAGGATTGCCTGAGCCCGTGAGTTCGAGACCAGCCTGGGCAACATGGCGAGACCTTGTCTCTACAATAAACCAAAGAAATTAGCTGGGTGTGGTAGCGTGCGCCTGTAGTTCCAGCTACTTGAAAGGCTGAGGTGGAAGGATCGCCAGTGCCCAAAAGGTTGAGGCTGCGGTGGCCAGGAGCATGCCAGTGCACTCCAGCCTGGGCAATAGAGTGAGACTCCATCTCCAAAAAATAATAATAATAATAAGTTTTTATCATGAGAAGAGAATACATTTTGTCTGATTTTTTTTTTCTCCATCTATTGAGGTGGATCATATGGTTTCTGTCCTTCCATCTGTAAATGTGGCATATCACACTAATTGACTTGAATATGTTGAAACATCCTTGCATCCTACTTGATCATGGTGAATGATCCTTACAGTGTACTGCTGAGATCAGTTGACCCCTTGAATAAAGAGGGGCTGGAATGCTGACCCCCACCACAGTCAAAAATCCACATATAACTTTCAGCTCCCCAAAACCTTAACTACTAATAGTGTACTGTTGACTGGAAGCCTTACCAATAACATGAGCAATCAACACATTTTCACACTATATGTATTCTATACTGTACTTTTTTTTTTTGAGTTGGAGTCTCACTCTATCACCCAGACTGGAGTGCAGTAGCCGTTCCTGGCCACCACAGCCTCGACCTGCTGGGCTCCTGCGATCCTTCGCCTCAGCCTTCCAAGTAACTGAAACTACAGGTACGCGCTACCATGCCCAGCTAATTTTTGATTTATTATAGAGATGAAGTCTCACCAAGTTGCCCAGACAGGTCTCGAACCTGCAGGCTCAGGCAATCCACTCACCTCAGCCTCCCAAAACACTGGGATTACAGGCTGAGCCACCGAGCCTGGCCTGTATTGTTATAATAAAATAAAGAAAATGTTATTAAAATCATAGGAGGGCTGGGTGCAGTGGCTTACACCTGTAATCCCAGCACTTTGGGAAGTGGAGGCAAGAGTATTGCGTGAGCCCAGGAGTCTGAGACCAGCCTGGGCAACTTGGCGAAACCTCGTCTCCACAATAAATCAAAAATTAGCCAGGCGTGGTGGTACGCACCTGTAGTCCCAGCCACTTGAGAGACTGAGGCAGAAGACAGAAGGATCGCCTGAGCCCAGCAGGTGAAGGGTGCAGTGGCCATGAGCATGCAAATGCACTCCAGCCTGGGCGACAGAGTGAGACTCTGACTCAAAAATAAAAAAATCATAAGGAAGAGAAAATATATTTACTAGTCATTAAGTGGAAGTGGGTCATCATAAAAGTCTTCGTCTTCTTCATCTTCTTGATGAAAAGGCTGAGGAAGAGGAAGAAGAAGAGGTTTTAGTCTTGTTGTCTTACGGTAGCAGAGTTGGATGAAAATCCACATAAAATTGGACCCACATAGTTCAAGCCTGCTTTGTTGAGTGGTCAACTTGTAAGAAGTTGGTAATATTTTAATAGAAATATTGAATCAGTAGAAACACCAGGTTTCAGATACACAAGGCCAAAAAAACTAATGATGCCAGATAGACTGGAGTGCAGTAGCAAGCTCCCAGCCACCACAGCCTCGACCTGCTGGGCTCAGGTGATCCTTCCGCCTTAGCATTCCAAGTAGCTGGAACTACAGGTGTGTGCTACCATGGTGGACTGATATTTTGATTTATTGTAGAGACGAGATCTCACCATGTTGCCCAGGCTGGTCTCGAACCTGTGGGCTCAGGCAATCCTCTCACCTCAGCCTCCCAAAGTGCTGGGATTATAGACACGAGCCACCGCACCCAGCCAGATACTGAATTTCTATGGCACTGTTCTTTGAACACCCCAGCAGGAATAAACTGCTGCATGCAGATAACATGTAGTGCAAGTTGTTGACAATTTTTATTTGTGTGCTCATCTTTATTGGCCTGTAATTTTCTTTTTCTTTCTTTTTTTTTTTTTAATTAAAGATAGGATCTTAGCCAAGCTCAGTGGCTCAGACTG